GCCGACGAGCCATCGAGGCTCGAGCGAAATAATGGCTCACGTGCCTCTCCACTCGCCGCTCTCTTCCTCTTTTACGACCGTTTAGACCTCGAGTCGTGATAGAGGCCATGGAGGAAGGTGAAGGAGAGAACACTGTTCAACCGTTTCTTCTATTCCATCTTGCTCGTATAAGTATTCTCGTATAAATTCAATCGATCGAGATAACGAGACAATCTCTAATTTTCAACCACTGTTTCGATAACCGGTGACCGGGGAACAATAAGAGGAAGAAGAGGAAGAAGAGGAGGAAGAAAGTGAAAAGCCGTTCGTTGTATACTTTTGTGTAGATTTATTAATTATTAAATTGCCGATTAATATTTTTTCGATGATATTTCGTTTCCTATTTTTTTAACGATGAGATTAAATTTGTATTTAATTCTGTTTCTGTAATTGAAATTCTTTTTTTCATTTCGTCGAAATTTCAATCGTCGAGATTTTTTTGAATTTTTTAAGGTTTCGATCCCGAGATCAGTTAGTCGGCAAGCTTGTGCCAGTTTAGAGAGACTCGTTCCTTAGGAAAAGGACAATTTCCCCGGACAGGAAACTCGAGGCTAATGATAACTTCCGTTTAACTCCCTTGATAAATCGGCCTCCCAGCCGCCCTTTATGTTTGTACAACAACTCGAAGGGACCGGTCTCCCCGTTTTACGCGTATTTATTTGTCGCCGCAGAGGGTTTCCGCGAGGGATGCGGCGATTTATGAACCGCCACTTCGAGTGGTGCTTCTCTCTCGTTTGGGGCCGTTAAACGGTGTTAGAGTAGAAAATAGATTATCGTTACACGAACGACTCGATTCTCTCCATCGTCTCGCGATTTAAAAATCAATCTTCGATATATACAAATACATTGAAAAAATCTGATATCGATTAAAATTCATCAAATACAACCTTAAGAATCTGTGGAATAGAAAGTGTCGAAAGAAAAAAAGAAATCGTAATTTCTTGGATCGATAAAAGTCGGGGAGGAAGATATAATAATAATAATAATAGGCCAAAATAAAAGTGCAAAGATCCTTTAGGAATCCTCGTTCCGCGAGTTAATGCTCGATAAATCCACGGAATCATGGGAAACGGCCAATTCTCAGCATCCGGTGACTTCCAATTACGTCGCATTGTGTCCGGGAATCCTCCGCGTTCCCGCTTCCGTGCGTCAAAGAAGCGGAGAGGGAGGGGGGCAAAAAAGAGAAAAGAAAGAAAGAAAGAAAAAAAAAAAAGAAAAAAAAGAAAGGAAAAGGAGAAAGAGAAAGGAAAAAGGGGAGGAGGGGGAATTCGATTCGTAGCATTAGAAGACTGACAATGAAGGGGGAGGGGTGAAGAGACCAGTGGTGATCGCGGTTATGTGTGCGTGCGACTGAAAGTGGGCTAACTTTTTGATGCGCCACTAAATAAGGGTTCGACACACTTTGTGACACATGTCACTCACACCGGGGGGGAGGGAATCCCCTCGGTTCGAAAAACAATCCCGCCAGTTTCTCACGCGGAAAAAGAAAAAAAACCTCCATTTCAATCCCGTCGAATTTTTCGCCGCAAGAAACTTTCTTTTTATGAATTTTCGATAAGGATTTCTGCTTGAAATTTGAAAGACAATTTACTTAATTTTTTTCCCCCTAATTTTCATTTATTCTAATTGCAAACTATACCATGTCCAAGTTGCAAGATACGACTTCTATATTTCCAATTACAATTATGTGCATTTGATAAAGAAAACTATCAAGAATCTTCTTTTTCGAATTTCACTATATCGAAGGGGATCGTCGAAACATGTATCGAAATAATAATTTAAAATCTCTTAAAAAAAATTTTATTTCTTTCTCTCGAATCTTCGGGACTACGTACAGAGCTGCATACGAACTCGAAAAAAAGAAAGAAAGAGAGAGAGAAAGAAAAAGAAAGAAGCGTGGAGAATAATTACGATAAAAACAAGGACGCAAGGCAACGGTGAACGAGCGCGAACGAAGGAAAAGAACGATTTCTCGCGCCCTTCGTGTGCGGCGAGGGCCGTCCGCTCCTTCCTTTCTCCTCCTTCCGCTCCTTCCCCTCTAACTTCTTTTTTTCGCCGCCGCCGTCG